TCGCTAGATAACATTTTAAAGTCAATGTTTGATCCTAAAGCAGATGAAATTAAAATATGGAAAAATGCAGTCTAGAATACCCATGTCTTCAGGATCATGTGGGAAAAATGCTTTCTTTTCTTTTCAACCACTTATTGCTGTGAATCTACATTCTCCTACCTAACCCACATCAAGATGCCCCTACGGTCCAGATGACTGACACCCATCGTAGAGGATCAACTGTAACTGTGGACCTCCATGCTGCAACCAAATATTCCAATACTTTCCAATAAAAAGCAGGCACAACAAAGTCATTGAAAGATTGGTTAACTGTAAAAACAACAGCTTTCATTTTTCTAAATTACTAAGTGTGTAGTAGTTAGATTTTTTTTTTTTTTTTTTGAGACAGAGCCTCAAGCTGTCCCCCTGGGCAGAGTGCCGTGGCATTACAGCTCACAGCAACCTCCAACTCCTGGGCTCAAGCGAGTCTCTTGCCTCCGCCTCCCAAGTAGCTGGGACCACAGGCGCCCGCCACAACACCCGGCTATTTTTTGGTTGCAGCCGTCATTGTAGGTTGGCGGGTCCGGGCTGGGGATTTGAACCCGCCACCTTAGGTGTACGTGGCTGGCGCCTTAGCCGGTTGAGCTATAGGCGCCGAGCCTAGTAGTTAGATTTTTATAAAATAATGTATATTTTAAAGTACCTCTAATTGAAGTGTCTTGAATGTGGCCCTATTTGATTACAGATAAATGAAATCAGCCTTCCAACATGAACAGTGTCCCCACCCCTGTTCTAAGCACAATGATTTTGCGGTTTATCCGTGTTGTAGCAGACATCAGTACTTAGTTTTCTCAATGATTGAATAATATTCAGTCTTCCTATGTAGATCAACTTCCTAAGGAAAAGAAACAGAATGAGGTTTACTGCACAGTATCGTTTATGCAGATGGTACATTTTTTTCAAAAGCACACCTATGTAACAAAAATGCATGGGCTGGGAATTTCCAGACCTGAGCGTGGTCATGGATTGGCTGACACGGTGCAGCTGTGCACAGGAGACAAGATGATACTATAGGCAGAATGAGAAATTGGGCCTGGAACTTGAACTTTTGATCCAGGTTCTGCAGAAGGCAGTTTTGGTCATTATAAGGAATCATGGAAGACTTTCTGATGGTGGTGCTGGGAATAGAAAAGGCTTTTTGTGGCCTGGCAGGACTTTGCCTTGGCTAGGCAGAATTCCATGCTCCATGGAACTGAACAGAGTTGGGAACCTTACCCTGGACCCCATGTTATCTGGTATCCATTATTGCTAATGTGTCTTTCCACTTTCTCACAGTAAAATATTACTTTTCTGCAATGTGTGTGTCAGAGTATTTATTTTTGTTAAAACTTCCATTCTTGCCAGAAGAACATACACAAAATAGACTTGACCTAGAATCTAAGGTGGGGAGGAAAATGAAGTTAGGGATAGATTCAGGGAAAATCTAAGATTGGGTTTTGCACAGACTGATAATGAGTGTTCCATAAAGCAAGAAATATCAATTTACGTGCACCTAAGTTACTTAAAATTCTACAATCAAAATAATTTCCCAATAGAATAGTATAGTGCATGTAAAACATAGATAAAACATAATGAATATCATTAATCTCTAACCTTCAAAACGATCACTGCTAATACACTAGTTTTGGCAGACACATTATATCAGTGTTCAAGGATGGATCCATTCGGTCTGTATTAATCAAGGTCCAGTCAGAAAGAGAAATCATACTAGCTTTTTAAACAGATGAGCACCCACGGAGCTGCTGGGGGACTGGGGAAGCAAAAAGGGAGTGCCAAGAAACGGCTACAAACCCTGCAGCTGGAGTTGCAAAGAATAAGGGCTTCAGGTTGTCAGAAAGTCTCAGGTGAGGGGCCTCCCAGAGCTGCGACCCATCCTTGAGAAAGGGGTTCTGCACAGCTGCTGCTGGTCCCTTTGAGCACCATGATGAGACTGGTTATGGGAGCCCTGCAAAAGCTGGAAATTCAAACCAACTTTGCAACTGTAAGGATGAAGTGGAATTACACTTGAGGGCAAGCAGACCACTTAGCTTGTAGAAGTTTGGGTTATAGCCGAGAGACAAGATACTGGCACATGGCCCAAACTTATTTTACGCCAAATGGTAAGAGATCGTTTAATTTTAGGAAAAAAATGTAATTTTCCCCTGCTTATATTCTTATATCAACCTCCCCCCCGCCCCCCGACTGCTGTCCTGTGGTTCAGTTCTGGCACCAAGAATGCAGAGTTAGTGCAGACCCCACAAGTTAGACGGCATGGTTCACAAGGGCACGGACCACACTTCAGGCCAACAGGCTGTAAACACCAGGCCTTCTGACAACCCCCCTCAGCTTTTATAATTTGCTAGAATGTCTCACAGAACTCAGGAAAGTGCTATCCTTACTATTATAATAGTTTTATGTAAAGTTTACAAATCAGGAATATCTAATGAAGACACATGGTGTGAGGTGTGGGAACCTCCCCAAAGGCAGAGTTTCCATGGCCTCTCCTCATGGAATCCCACATCTCCCTCCTAACATGGCCGCTAGGAAGCTCCACTGGTAGGGTGTCCAGACCTGCTTTTCAACAATTTGTCCGGTGTCCCACGGCGTTTTAAAAAAGTCCTGATTTTTGGAAAGAATACAGGAATGGGCAGGAGAACAGGAAGGGAATATACGGTTTTCAGCTGCCATGAGGCTATTTCACCAGAATATGAGTTTTGTATTATTTTTGTTAATTTTATAATGTTAAACTGTAATAATAACAATTGCTGAGAAGTGATTATGGAGAACTGCTTATCAAAGTTTGCATTGTTGTCAGGCCCTGCCCTGCCCCACCCCACCCCATGTTGTCCCGCCTTACTGATGTTAAAATCTGGTCACCCTATCCACTGGGTTTCCATGTCCAGGGTTTTTATTGGGGTTTCACTGTGTAGGCATGATTGAGTTCAATCTCCAGCCCCTCTGCTTTCCCTGAAGGAGGGGCTAGCACAAAGATCTAACTTTCTTTTTCTCTTTTTTTTCCAACCTTCTAATCATATGACCAGCCTCCCTTCTGAGTCATCTCTTTTTAAAAACTCAGTGACCCAATAGGCTCATGAAGAACAAAGACACTCCCACTACCTGGGAAATTATGAGGACTTAAGTCTCTCTCAGGAACCAGGGGACAAGGCAAAATTATTTTTCAACTGCTTGCAAAATAAGAGAAAACTATGTTATTAAATTCCTGCCCAGGTATATTTGATAGAACATAAGTTCTCATTCCAAGTTTTAGAAACATGTAAGATAATAGAAAATTAGTGCTCAAAAAGTCCCATGAAGCCATTAGCCAACATGAATAAACTAGTTCAGAACATGTGTGAGTATTGTTCCAAAATTTACTTCTTTCTTTTCATTCCTTTCTCTCGCTCCCTCTCTTTCTTTTTCTCTCTCTCATTTTCTTTCTTTTTCTCTTTCTTTCCTTTTTTTTTTCCAGACAGAGTCTCCACTCTGTTGCCCAGGCTGGAATTCAGTGGTGTTGTAATAACTTACTGCAATCTCGAACTGCTGGGCTCAAGCTATCTCTTGCCTCAGCCTCCAAAGTAGCTGGGACCTCAGGCATGTCCCACCATGCCTGGCCAATTTTTTCTGTTTGTGGAAGAGACAGGGCCTCACTCCTGCTCAGGCTAGTATTGAACTCCTTGCCCCAATGGATCTTTCAGCTTTGGCTTCTCAGGGTGATAGCACTACAGGCATAAGCCACCATGCCTGGCCCCAAATTTATTTTTATATGGAGTTTAGAAACCCATTATTCTTAAAGAGATAATCTCCCCTAATGGTTATTAGTTACCCCATACAGTTTACAAAATTTAATAGTGATAATCCAGTAATAATAATAATAACTGGCATCTGGCAGTGCCCATAGCTCAGTGGGTAGGGCACCGGCCACATACCCCGAGGCAGGCAGGTTCAAACTTGGCCCAGGCCAGCTAAAACAACAATGACAACTACAACTAAACTATAGCTGAGTGTTGTGGCAGGTGCCTGTAGTCCCAGCTACTTGGGAGGCTGAGGCAAGAGAATCACTTAAGCCCAAGAGTTGGAAGTTGCTGTGAACTATGATGACATCATGGCATCCTACCCAGGGTAACAGAGTGAGACTGTCTCCAAAAAAAAAAAAAATGCAAGAAAAAACTTCATTATTTATGAGAAAAGAAAAACCAATAAAATAGAATAATTTTTAAAAGTTTATATATCTTGCCTAAAGTCTGTGGGTGATTTTATTAGTTCATTTGACAATCCCTTGGTCAGTGTCCAATGCCATGGTCTATGCTGGACAGAGAATATAAGATGATTCACACACGGTTTCTGTATAGACTGAGTATTTAGCCTGGGAGAAAAAGATTCTTGTTATAAACTGGAGGCATAATGAGGTCTTACTCTTCAATATATGGTTTAATGCATTATGGTAAGAAGTACTCTTATGGAATGATAGACAGTGGCTAGAAACTGTTTATAAGAATTTGGTGACATGAAAAATGTCACATACAGGGTAATGCAAAAGGAAAGTTAAAAATGGAATGGAAAAAATCCTATTATCATATATGTAAATGAGAAAACCCTACTATCAAGCACAAGAAAAGTGCATCATTTGGGTTGTTAATGTTTTTTCCTTAGAGCATGTGTATTGCATTCAAACTGTGGTTTTCAAACTCCCAGGAGACAGTGTAAGCCAGTGGGTGTATGAATCATGCCCCCTCTCTGCGCCTCGGATTCATTGCCTATACAATGAGAAGAGTGTACCTGTTCTCAGCTCGCATGTAGGGTTGGGTCCAAAGGTATGTGCCCTATGCCCTCCTCCAGGAAGGGGATGACTAGGCTTAAACAAAGTCCTTTTCTGAGTCATTTCTAGATATGCCTGGTAGAAAACAGTCAACACATAAGAAAAAAAATTCCCGCTGGTCAGGTTGTTCCTGGACTTTCTAACAATTCTTTATTCTCACTGCCAGGTTACCCTTTCCCTACTGCTCCTCCCGTGGATCCGTTTGCCAAAATCAAAGTGGACGACTGTGGAAAAACTAAGGGATGCTTTAGGTTGGTAGAACTACAAGTTGGATAACTAAGGATGAGAAACAGATGTACTTCTCAGGGTAATATTTAAATTGCATGCAGTTCCTTCTAATCAGGGGCCCATACCCCTTCATAACTTCAGCAGGGTACGTACTGGGCCATGTCCTGGCCCATTGGCTTTTCTTTCACTTTGTTCCTTTCATCCTTTTCACCCTAGTTCCATGTTGCCTTGATCTTCCATCTCTTCCTGGCCGCCCAGGGTGTCCCTGCCAGCATAGTAGCATATTCTTACCTCTTTCCTCAATCAAAACTCCGCCCCCGTGTCCTGTTCCTTCCATCTGAGTGTAAATGCCCCACCCATGGTTGCAATTTTCTGTCATCCTGAGAGTGGTGTGATACAGTGTTCCTCCAATTTAGCCCTTGCCCATCTGAAAGGATCCTTAAAACCTATGTAAGAAAAAATTTTAAGTTCTGTTTTAATTCCAGAGATGGTCTTTAGAAAGATAAATGTGTGCATAATCTCACTACCTGGATGACCACCTTATACTGCTGTATGTTTTAATGTCTGAATTTGTGATTGTATTAGCAGCAAGGAGCCAAATAGAACAAATAAATAAATAATGCATTCATTCATGCTCAGCGAATACCAGATGAGGGTATTCACTGCTGCATTGTATAAATGAGGGGTCTGCAGCAGTTCAAACAGAAAGAAGTGGAGGAGAGTTAAGCCATCATGTTCCAGTCAGTGATAACACCATGCTCAAGTGTTAAGACCTAAAGACCCTGCACGGAACAGTCAAATGTAACCACAGGCGTAGAAGCAGAAATGTGCTACAATCTGGTACATGAATGCTGTGAATTTCAATGTTCCTGGTTTTTTAGTTTATGTTTAATTTATAAATTTGTGTTAGTTTGATTTGTAAGTAAAAAAGAGTTAATATACATTTAATTAGCAAAAACAATTGAAATTACTGACTCAAAGAATCCTTTTCCTCTAAAGGGGATTTAGAAATCATTCCATAATAACTGATGTTTTTAAAACTCTAATGCAGGGAACACTGGCTGGGAGTTTGGGGGCCCAGACTCAAGTCTTGTTGCAGCCACTGACTTCCTGTGCAACCTCAGGGGAGCCCCTTCCTATCTGAGGACCTCAGTTCATATGTGGATAAAGTGGGTCCAATCCCCTCCAAGCTTCCTCCTAACTAAAGAAAACTGTGTTTCTAAGGTCCCAGGGAGCAGAGATCTAATTTATTTAATCATATTGTGTATCATCCAGCTGGATTTATGGCAGATGTTCTCTGACTGTATTTTGAATAAGCAGTAATGTCTCTTTTGCTGTACCTTCTAGATATGGCAAGCCAGGCTGTAATGCGGAGACCTGTGACTACTTCCTTAGCTACCGGATGATAGGGGCTGACGTGGAATTTGAGCTGAGCGCAGACACAGATGGCTGGGTAGCAGTTGGATTCTCTTCAGACAAGAAAATGGTAAGAGGCAAATCAAGGTAAACACTGATTTTTTTTTTATTTTGTTTGTATACATTTTTATTTTTATTTTTACTTTTCTTTTTTTTTCTTTTTTTTTTTATTAAATGATAGCTGTATACATTAATGCAAACATGGGGT